TCAAACGCAGTCGTGGGCGCGGTGGCTGGAGCGGGACATTTTGCCAAGATGTTCTGGAGTTCAAGATATACTGGTTGGAGCTCAATCTGCTCTGTTAGACTTTGCATCTTTTCAAGTACCGATTCTAGATTGTCAATGTTGGGGTCCAGCTGGCTGAGGCAGCCCTGTAGCGCTTCGGGAACTTGCACTGCTTGGTCGAGGACGCCGAGGGCGCGGGTGATGGTCGCTTTGAAGGCAGGCCAGTTCAAGGCAGGAAACTCTGGTGGAGCTTCATCGATGGTGTTCTGGATCTTCGTAACCATTGCTGCGAGATTAGAGTTTCGCTTGATGGCACCGCTGATAAAGGCATCGAGGTGCGGGAGGGGGTGAGTGGTGGATTGCTCGGGCAGGAGCGGTCTGAGCCAGCCTTCCACCGACACCACAACAGCGGCCGTCGTCTATAGGGGGATGTGGTTGAGGGGAGGTTGAGATAGGGATGGAGTGGGGAGCAAAGATTGTAATTGGAAAAGGAAGAGCGGAGAGGTATGTACCTCAAGGGACGGTGGAGGACTGGGCAAGGGCGGCAGCCAGGCAAATAGCTGTGCAAGGCGAGCCTCGTGGGCAGCGAAGACGGGCTCCAGCCTGTTGGCATGCCCACGTCGACGTCCAGCATCGAAGGCCGTCTCCCCTCTCTGAGAACATATTCAGGGGAGGGACGAGGTGTGGTAAGAGTTGAGCGATGTGCATGTGATTTTTTAAAATGAAAGCCAGTGCAACGATGCACATGATTAAGCAGGAGACGTTCGGCGAGTAAGCGGGGTACAGATCAGGCAAGCGGTGGCAGGGTATCTCAACAGAAGGGTTGATTAACAAATAATTAACAAAACTCGTGTTTGGAAAAGTATTGTCAAATGTGCAAAGGCAAGATGCAAAAAATGACGACCAGCATGTGTTTGAGCGCGCGAGGAAAGCAGAGACACCATGATGATGGCAAAGGATTGGGTGGCGTCCAGATCAACATGTCAAGTCACTATATCGTGGCGGATGGGCAGCGCAGATTCCGAAAGGGTAGGCAGGCGGAGGTAGAACAAGAGGAAGCAAAGAAACCCAAAACGGAGAAAGGCAATCGTGTTAAAGACGAGAGAAGAGATTGAAACGGGACGGGTGCACGCAAAGGGCAGGGTGTCGAGGGGAGAGACGGGCCGAGCGGATGTGCAGGAGGAGCAGCAGCAAAGCGGAAAGAAGGGGGTACTGTACTGACCTCGTCCTTGGCTTCAGCATCAACGCCGTGCTCCAACAGTGTCTCCACCACCTTGACATGGCCGTTATAGCAGGCATAGTGCAGTGGTGCTCGGCCGCCCTGGTACAGCATCATCAGCATATGTTAGAGGTGTACCAGCAGAGGGAGGTTAATGGGAAAGAGGGAAGTATTGACCTTGTTCTGCGCTTTTGCATCGACACCATGCTCCAACAGCATCAACACTACCATGATACGACCGGTATGGCAGGCATAGTGCAGTGGTGTCCGGCCATACTATGGGATGATGCCTCAGCATTAGATACAGCGTTATCATATGTTGTAGGTGTACCATCATAAGACGGAAGAGCAAGTGGGAGGTACTGACGTCGTCCATGGCTTTTGCATCAGCGCCATGCTCCACCAGCATCTCCAACACATTGACATAGACTGATCGCAGGCATAGTGACTGCAGT